GAGGTTCCTGCGGCATCTGCAGCCCGAGGACATGGAGATTCATTTTAGCATTTTTCTCCGTGTTTCCCCTGTTCTTTTGCTTAGCTTTTATTTAACCTTTTTTATTATTATTGTTTTCCCTTTCGTTTATTTCCCTTTTCCTGTGCTCTCCCCTCCCTTTCGCCCGCTATTTCGTTGTCCCGTTTCCCCGCGTCTCGGCGTCCCTCAGGCGAGCGCGCTCGCCGGTGTGCGCGGTGGGACCGTTCCCGGCGCTGCGCGGACGCGCATCCCCGCGGCGGTCCGAAAGGGAGTCCGCAGCGGATGCCAGCTTAAGGCTGCGCGCCCCCGGAGCGATTCCCTGCGGAGGGGCGTGCGCGGAAAGACGGACCCGAATGGGACCGCCGGCATCGTCTGGGCGGCCGTCCCGGGCAGCAGCCGTGTGATGAGTTGAAATTGGAGGAAAAAAATAGTATTTTGCTGCATTTTAATGCACCTGATCGCGGGCTGCTCCTGCATTGGAACCTCTTGTTGCTTTTTTGTCACTTCTGTCCATTTTTTGTTCCGTTTTTCCCCCCAGTCTCCATGGGTTTCCTGTGCATTAGCAGAAAAATAAGGAGAGCACTTCAGTGGCCTCTTGTTCAGTTTTAAATTCCCAAAGACTTCTCAGCACAGTGGCACGAGTAGCTCAAATGGTCTGTAAAGCCTTATCCATGCTGGAATTGCGATTGCTTCTGTCTTCGTGCTCTGGTCCTGTCCTTCCCACATGCAGTCACCTTTTTAATTTTACACATGGAATTCGACCCACCTGTGTGGCTCAGAAAGGACGTGGTGGCTTTATATTTTGGCTCAGGAAGGGCAGGCTGTGCATACTGTGCTTGGAGGAAGGAGGCAGGATGGGTTTTCCAGCTCAAGCATTTGTTTTTTTGTACGAGGTGCCGGATGAAACCCCAGAAGCTGAGGGGGAGATGAGGATTTGCATAACTGTTGCTTGACTATTTGACTCACTCTCCCCAGCCTGTCCCCAGCCCCTGCCACACCTTTGAATCATAGAGTCATAGAATTATTAAGGTTGGAAGGGACCTTACAGATCATCAAGTTCCAGCACCCTTGCCATGAGTAGAGAACCCCATCACTAGACCAGGTTGCACAAGACCTCATCCAACCTGGCCTTAAAAACCTCCAGGGATGGGGCATCAACAACCTTCCTGGGCGACCCATTCCAGTTCCTCACCACCCCTATAGTGAATAATTTCTTCCTAATATCTAATATAAATCTCCCCTCTTTCAGTTTAAAACCATCACCCCTTGTCCTATCACTATCTTCTCTGATGAGAAGCCCCTCCCCAGCTTTCCTGTAGGCACCTTTCAAGTACTGGAAGATGCTATAAGGTCTCTCCAGAGCCTTCTCTTTGAGGACTTCAAATGTTGAAAAGGAATGTTTAAGTTAAGGAGGGAAGGAGGATGGTGTTTGGGGCACCCACCTCAGCAGGGGCATGTGTTGTCACCAGGGGATTCTGGCTTCCCTGCCCATTCCTGTGTGTGCTGAGGTGCAAGGTGGCCGTGGTGTCCTCAGGGCAAGGTGAACTCACCTGTCTCCTGCCTGTGTGGCAGTGGTGGGGTGGCCATGGCACTTTTCAGGGTTTGTGGTCTGACTGCTGTCTGCCATTAGCCTGGCTCATTTGCCAGCAGCAGAGCTGAGTTGGGAGGTGAGTGGTGTGAATGGCAGTGGAAAAGTATGGCTGGCTCTTCAAACTGAGGTGACCCTGTGGGACAGATGATGGGAGCCTTCACAGCACTGGCGTGGCACAGGTTGTCCTGTCCATGCCTGGGTGCTTGGCAGGAAAGTGGGTGCAGAAGAATGACTTCAGCCTGAGCCGGAATCCACGGAGTCCTGAGTGAGTCAGTATCTGCATGTGTTAACAATAAAATGCAAAAATAAAATGTCAGAGTGATAGGAGAATGAGACACGTCTAAGAATTCAGCAGCTTGGCAGGGGTGCTCAATGTTGCATCACCTCTTTTCTGACTCCAGGGCAGGGTCCTTCCTTGCTGCTATCCCAAACCTCCCACCAGCTTAGGAATAGGAAAGGTTCCAGGAGAGCCAGCCAGCCTTCTCCAAACTGTTGCAAAGCTGTGCTGCAGGCACACCTGTGTCAGTGCAGGGCAGTGTGCTGGCACCAGGCAGGCATGCTGGGGCTGGGCTCAGTTCATGTGGGGCAGGTAGGAAGGGGTGGGCAGTGCTGCAAGGGCAGGTTAGCAGAAACCCCCTAAAAAGGATTTGCCAGGGAAATGCTGAAAACCCTGAACCTCTGCAAGGTGATGTATGAAAAACTTTAAAATTATGACAGGTCATGTTGAGAGGCACAAAACCAGCCCAATTACCACCACGTTTTACAAACAGGTTAATTGTTGGTTCATTTTGGGAGGAGTACGTGTGTGTTTATGGCAAAGCAAATAGTAAAACAATAGAATAATTCGGGCCAGGAAGGACCTCTGGAAAACCGCTTCCAGGTTGCTTGCAAATGCTGGAAGTATTTGCTAGTCAATACCAAATGCAATCTCTCCTGTCACAACAATTACTCCTTGCTCTCTTCCACCCAGTGTCCAGAGTTTCTGACCATTTTAGGGGCAATTCTGGTTGGATTTGGTGTGAGAGCTGGCAGGGGCAGCCCGGCCGCAGGGTGAGGCCGGCAGCGCTTCCCGCTCTGCAGAGCAACTCTTTGCTTTTCACTTCCAAACAGAAATACAAGTTCCCTCTAGAACGGGGAAACGGTAACAATTTTTTAGTTTGCAGCAGATTGCAAAGGCTGTAAATGCTGATTCTTTCAGAGCCAGCCATGGATTAAGTCCATTATAAAATTAAAACAGATGGAACACAATTTCACTTACATTACAAAAAAGGCCAGGAACCATCTGCAAATAAGATTTAGCATTGCAAAGCTATTGTTATCATGTCACCATTAAAACCTTTGATGAAGGGTTTTCTTTTATTTCATAAACTTGTTCACATGAAACAAATGTTTTATTTATCCATCTTCCTAAGATAATAATATTTTATTTAAAAAGATCACATGTCTCAAGAAAAACGGTTCTTGGTTCTAACAGAACATGTGAAAACAAAGAAATGTTGTAAAAGTCTAACTATAAACCTTTGGGGGCTTCAAGGGGGAGGATGTAGCAAAAGGAGAATTCCCTGTCCATTTTTCCTTTAAAAAACATTTGCTTGTGTTTGGGGACAATGTCTGATACTGAAAATAGATAATTAATGAGATAATGGGATACTGCATGTCACCTCCTGTCCAATGGGATTATCTGATGGCTAATTATGGACAGATTGTGATTAATGTGATTATGGATTGGATATTAATCTGATTCTGGATTGATCTAGTTATGTTTTAGTCTGCTCCAAATGGTTAATTGGATCTGAGATAATAGAAATGCAGCTTGCACCAGATTTTGCCACATCAGTTGATGAAGTATCTTTTGATCTGGGTGGGTTGCGAACAATAAATTATTTACAGCTGTTGAGAAAATGACTCTTCCTTAGAATGTAGTCATTCATTTTATTTTTGAGAGCCTTTGAAAACAAAATCAATATCCTTTTTAAAAGGAGATGTTGACAAAAGAAAGGCACGTACATAACTCACAAACAAATGTGACGAAATTAAACAGTGGTTAACCCGGTGGCCTAATGTCTGGTGATGCATTTGAATTGCTATGTGGAGCTTTGGGCTCAATTCTTCTGAGACCAGCAGGGGTTGGGAGCATTGCAGGGGAAGAGGGCCCAGCTCTGGGGAAAGTGGTATTGCACAAGAGCTACTGCCAGCCCTGCTATTGATTAAGAATCAGCCATGGTGAAATGGCAAAGGGAGCCCTTGCCATTTTTTCCCCTCCGGATAAGCAGGATTCAGAAAGTTCATGGGCACAGAAAGGACTCATTGGCCCATCTCATCTGGCCTCCCTCATACCAGACCATGCAATTGGACCCACTGTCATTATGTTTTCCCCTTGCACTGAGCCTGTTAATTTATGGTTGACCTCAGTCATGTCTCCCAGAGATGAATCTGGTCTTGGTGTAGCCTGCCAGGGTGGGAGAGGCTGCCCCGCTCCCTCCAAGGCCATCCTGCTTGGTAACTACTTTCACAGAGATGGCAAATTAAGTGTACATTTTAGGTTCATCCCCCAGCTACTGAATCTTGTTATGCCATTAGCTGTGGGATTAAAGGCAATGGGTAAGTTACAGCATCTCAGACTTTGTGAAAGGGCAAGCGGGGAGGTGTGTTAGCCTTTGTCACCAGGTGGCACAAGCTGCCAGTGGCTTCACCAGAAGGTGCTCCTCTCTCCAAAGACTTTGCAATAAAAAATATAAAAAAATAAAGCAGGTCCCGAAACACAGAAAAGAGAGGCATACTGAAGCTGCTGTTCTTAGCACTAAAGTGTTATTCCCTGAACTGATACTGAAGAAAAAAGGAAAAAGCCCCTCTCCCTGGAGTGCTCAGGCCTGGAAAGGGCTGTTCACCTTTGAGGGATTTTAGGCTCGGCCTGTCCCTTTCTCTGCCAAGCAAGCGCCTAGGGCTGGCAGGAGCAGGAATACAGTGGCATTTGGATGCTTTTCCAGCAGTGTCACATGCAGAAATAGCAGCTACCTATTTAAAAAATAATGCTGCTATAACCCAGCAGAGAATTTTACATGCATCTCCCATTAGTGACAAGGCAGGTGGCCAAATGCCCGTGGTGGGGGTCTGCACCAGCAGGTGAGCAGAGCTCTGCACATATCACCACTGCTCCCAGGCAGAATAAGCTGCCTTCCAAGGGAGCCTTCCAGCAAGTTAGGGGGGGTCCCCTTCTCACCTGTGACTTTGGCAGAAGGGGCTTCTTTACCTCCTCTGGTGACCTTTTCTAGGAATATGCAGCAAATGTGATGTGATGTTGCTCCCTGACTCCCTCATTACTTGACTGGCACCTGGAAATGATTAGCAAGGGAGAGAGGAGTGTTTAAGAAAGGGAAAACATGTGCCTGTGGTAGTTCAGTAGGTTCAGTATCAGTAGAAGAGTTGTCCCTGATATGGGGTGGGTTTGGGAGAGCTCTTTCTTCTGTTCTCCACTTTGGAAATAGGACTCCTGGCCTTGTCCTCTCTCAGAGGGCTGCTGTAATGCCTGGGGACAGGCTGCTAAGCTGAACAGACAGGTGAGTGTAGTGAGGTGGTCTGGGCAGAGCACTGAGCACACCTCTGCTGGTGGTTTGTTATGAAGGCCTGCCCATGTGTCAGTGAGGATGAGGAGCAGAGGGCAGGACTTTGGGGAGAGTTGTCCCATGCTGTGCAGAGGGTCTTGTGTTTCTGGGGAAGGGGTGGTGCAGGGGGATGGGCAATGTCTGGGGATGGCTGAAACACTTTGGCCATGTGAGCTTGCAGCAACTGGGCGTGAAATATTTCAGCAG